GTAACGGGTCCCATACGGTAATTATTATCCCGGTCGGCGGACCGGTTGGCTGAATGGTTGGTTGGACGATCCCGTGTGGCTGGCTTGGGAGCCGCCGGTTGATGGAGATCATAAGTCCAACAGCTGGACGGTCGGCATGGAGTCTGTGCTGTAGCTGTATGGTGTCCTAACAGTCGGGTGGCTGGGCGGCTTGTTGCTTGGCTGGGTTGACGTGGATGGCTGGCCCATGGAGTCTGTGCGGCGACTGTATGCCTTAATGGTCAGCTGGCTGGACGGCTGGCTGAATGGCTTGGTTGCCGTGGTCTGCTTGGCCATGGATACCGTGTGGTGCCCGTACAGTATTGTCTCACGGTAGGGAAAAGTCTGCAGGCTTATACCCGGCTGGTCGGATGGCTGGCTGGCTGGCTCGCTGGTCAGTACGGTCGGCTGGAGAAGGCTCTACGGCCATGTGTGTTGAATTGACATATGGCAGTCCCCCATGTGGTCTCGCGACCGGGAGACTCTACTTTGCCAGAGCTATCTCGTTAGCACTCTTCATATTCTCCAGTTCTTTGTCTAGGGTTGAGAATCTAGCCTCAAACATATTCCTCATCATCTCCTGCTGTTAACTTAAATGTTGTTTGATTAGACTTATGGGGAGTGCAGGATATGGTTGATCAACTGGAGTGGGAGGAGCTGGGGTGGAGGCAGACATCTCGGCTGTGATGACCTCCACCCATTCGTATGGTTTGTCGTATTTTCGCACATAACCTTCATCGATAGGGGGACAAGTCTTCTTGCAGGTTACAGAAAGGGGCGAGTGGTGACGAATGGATGGAGGTCATCACAGCCGAGATGTCTGCCTCCACCCATTCATCACCACTCGCCCCTTTCTGTAACCTGCAAAAAGACTTGTCCCCCTATCGATGAAGGTTATGTGCGAAAATACGACAAACCAATCAGAATGCGTGTTTGATTTCAAGTTGTTCATCAAAGAATCCCCCAGAAATAATTTTTTATTTTACATATGTCTTGCATCTAAAAATATACCCAAGACACAGTTAAATGTGTTCAATCATGCTGTATAATTCCGCATGTCCAGATGTGCTTTAAATTGCATCTGAAATATACATAATATATGGGGAAATATATGTGAACCATTATGCAATGAGTTCACAATTGTTTTAGGTATGCCCGTTTGCACTAAGACGGAACCCGGTCGCAAAAATGGATATGAGAGGGGCACGAGTCGCTATTCGTCTTGTCACGGAATAACACGAGTTGGTCACGAATGGACCTCCACCTTCTTCTTGGCCGCCTCACCTTGGTCATAACCTCGGCTATTTTGATGAAGGTCTTCTCAGATGTGTTGGCTCGCTGCTCATATCTCACATGATCATGAATCGACCACACTTCTTGCACCTGGACTCCATTACGACCTCACAAACACCTAGCACCAGTAATACTCATGTGCGTGCGATCGTCACTCCAGAAGCAGCTAATAATATCTACTTATGTGTCTGTTATTATAGAAAACTATTAGAATAATCTCAGAGTAATGTGACTTACTACCAAGTGCTAGATCGTTACTACTATTACAATAGGTCAACCTTTGGTCCACCTTTGCTGTAACCTCAATATCCTCTTTGGTTACAATACATGGTTACTCTTTGGTTAACATGAATAATGCTCAGATAACAACATAGTCAACTTGTACATGCTGTCAAAGGCAGGGTCTCGATTGTATCAAGTTTTGAGTGACCTCTGTATTAGGTCAAGGTTACTTGAGATCAAATTTTGAAACATGGTTCACATGTCATGCAATTTCTGATTAATTCATGATCAGATTAATCAATCCCTTTCCAATCATTTATGATAAACACAATGATCAACTCAATACCTGTCATATGTCATGGTTTTGTCAGACTTCATATTTGTAACACCACCTAAGTTTGCAAAAAGTAATGTTCTTAGTAGTGATTGGATTGCAATGAAGGTCAAGTGCAGTGAGTGAGTTTGGCAAAGTTGGAGTACAAGATAACTTGAGTATTTATCATACAGATTTGATGAAACTTGATCTCCAGCATCCAGCACCCAGTCTTTGGCTCTGGAGAGAAGTCTTTCTATCAGTCACTCTCAGTCAGTCTCAGGATGAATTCTCTTCAAATTGTTGCTTGGTGTCTCCTTTGGTTTAACTTTGACTCCAAAGTTCTTCCTGGTGTGTCACTTTTGTCCATTCCCTCTGGATCATCAAGTGTCCCCTCTTTGCCTCCTGGGTGTTGAGCTCACATCCTCAACAACACAGGCAGCTGTGGCGATGGCAGTTGTCAATAGTCCAGCACTGGCAATTCATGTATGAGCCAATGGATGGCATCCATCAACCATTTTGACTGAGAAAGTCTTCATATTAGTGTCGTTCCAAGGCCGGGTTTCCCTGGTTCCTTTGTCCTGACCAAATGAAAATCAGACAACCATGGAGTCACTTCATCCCAAGGCATTTCATCGCTTGTCCAAATTATAGGAGATGCCATTGACTGATTTCTTTGCAGTGATTTGAAGAGTGTATGGGATTCCTTGGCATGAAAATGGCTCCCGAGAGTTGTGTCCTAGAGGCATGGGATATTTTCTGTTACAAAGTCATACCACACTCATCTTCCCGAGGCATGGGAGTTAACTAACTATAAAAGTCCAGTTTCCACCCTTGCTGAACTAGGCTGCAATTTCTGGGCTTGATTGTAGCACCACCAGTTGTTATTTCGAGTGGTGTCCCTTCTCTGCCACTCCTATTGTTCAATCAGATTCCGCCTCTTGTATCACTTGCATTTGCTTCAAAATGGCAGCGCCCGGTCAAGATGGTCTGATCAATAATCAAAATCTATATTGTGATAAAATGGGTCTTACATCGCAAAGTGCATCAAATCACATGAGCACCTTAATTAAACATGAAAAGATTTGGAAAATATCTGTTGATGCGGAGTTGGCGGTGCACATGCTTTGCAAATCCTGCAATCGACTGAAATCTGCACGACAGTTTATGAACCAGATTTCGATTTCGTTACGTGATTATGATTGGACTATGCATAGACTTGTTAGTCCAGCCAAAATATAACTCCATAATACCAGCCTAGTTTGGCAAAGGTGGAAACTGGACTTTTAAAGTCAGTTAACTCACTTGCCTCTGGAAGATGTACCACACTGGACATGTTTTCCAAAAGTGGAAGTGATGCCATTAGACAAGAAGACTACATTCATTTCTAACTGAACACATTTTGTGACTAATAAAGTCATGAGTGTTCACAAACCAGAAGTGATGTCCTTAGACACATGACATTCTTGTTTAAGCAGTGAGAGGCATGGGAGTTTAAGATCTAAAGTAATGTGTTTTCTCAGACTGCAAGAAATGTGATTAGCCTGGAAGAGCAGTTAGGTTCCTTTTTGGTATGGCTACAGGGTCAGTAAACTTAAGGTAGTATGCCATTCTCCAAACTGAAGGTAATGATATTAGCCTGGAAGCTTGTAGCAAATGGAAGTAAAGATGTTTAAAAAAAATCTTATTACCAAGGCAACCTTAAATTTCCTTTACCCCATTTTTTTTAGTATAGTGTACACTTTTTAAAAAAACAACAACACAGCTGTGTAGAAGGGAGTGCGCATTATACACGAATTAATGAGTTTTGATGTTTTTTCCCCCATGGAAAGACATTACTGTGAGCACGTAACACCGGAAATACCATGTCAACAAATCCATACTGAAGTACACAAATTAATCATGTAATTACACAGTCTGGCTATAAAAAGTGTTCTTTGTATATCTGGACTTATGTTTGTAACTTATTTCATAAGTTTATCTAAAATTCCTTTTAGTATTGTTTAAATTAATTTCGGTGAAATCGTGTGTGAAGAGATCGGAAGGTAGCACAACTCACCGTTATTAACAGCAACCACGGTCGGATTACCGTTATTGATGCCTTGAAACTAACTCTAGTTAACAGAGAATGGATACCTATATTATAAATGCCATACTTTGACTTGTTAAAAGTCATATTTGTTATAGTTTGAAGATTCTATGTCAACACATCGTTCTCACGACAACGTTAGCGGGAGCCTCGACGGTGACTGGTCAAACTGGTTCCATGTGAAAAATAAATACCGGCAATAGCGGTCAGCTGCTTCACTTAGGGTTATTATTATTTTAAATATATTTAGTAAAAGCTGCAAGTAAAATAACAAGATATTGGAATATATTATTCCTGAAAAAAAAATAGTTTCAGATACAATTTTTGCTGATCCATGCATTAAAATCCTGTAAAGTTATATCATTGCGTGTGTCTTGACCGAATCACCGGTAGATTCCAAGAAAACGTGTGTACAGCTGATTGCTGTTTCCAGCTTAGTTTACAAGAAAATACACAAGGTAATCTTAAGCCCTGGATGTAAAACAATGCCTAGCAGAACAAAAAATACAATTTAAACGGTAAATCAACATGTCTGGTGATTTTTTATCTCAAATTTCAAATTTGTACTGACCAAGTTTCTCATCACCTGTTCGTTGACCAGAATTTGCTGAAGGGGTATGGTGTAATATTTTATTAGCATAATATTAGATTTATTTTTTCCAAAATACTGAATCCGCTAGAGGGAGGTGCGCATTACACTCAAGAAAGTAAGGTAGTTTAGCTTATGTGTAGTAGGGAAGATGATTACATCTGACCTTAATGCTGTATGTAATCATAAAATACTTCTGAAAAATTCCGTTGAGCTTTGTGGCTCGAGTAACAGCAGCCCTCCTGAAGCTCATGTCGTGGCACTTGTCCTTCATGCCACTAATACTAATTACATACAACTACAACCAAGGAGGATTAGTGATATTGATGACAGAGCTTTTTCAATGGAAAAAATAAAGAACTTGAAGGAGGTTTAAACATTCCTCATAGGTTTTGCTTCATTTGAATTGTTGTGCATTCATATTTTGATGAGGATGAACAATAATTCATTCATCTGACAGCTTGTGTTTCTTTCAGGCGCATTCAGTACCTCTCGTCAGTCTCGGCTGCAGCAGCTGATAGACTGGTGTGGTGGCACAGACTTCCAGGGATGTCTTATTTTTGATGAATGTCACAAAGCAAAGAACTTCATACCAGTAAGTTAACCAAGGTGTCCAAGTGATTTCCCTTCATGTACAAGATAACTTACATTTAATTCAGTTTTCCTCGCATTGTATATTGTTTAACACTATGTTTGAATAATAAGTCAGATTTGACTACTAGTTAAGGCTTAAAAAAATAAAAGAATTGGTTTTCAGGCAATGGCTTTTGAAAATAAATTGTGGGAAGGTGGTGTTTTTTTCCGTGTATTTTTGTGTGTTATAAGCAAATAAATAGTTGTGTTAAATCAACCTGGCAAAGGGCCTCCCTACATAAATGTATTCCTTGATGAGTAAAATACTGGAATACAGTATTTGACTACTGTTGGACTACCAGTGTGTGCATAAGACACGCATACAATGAGCTTTGATTTTATTTCACAATGCAAAAAGGTTATCATGAGCACACAACAACAGAAGAAGCATGTCAACAAATCTGTACTGAAGTACACAAGTTAGTCCCGTTATTACACTATCTGGCAATGAGTGTTCATTGTGTATCTGGACTTGCATTTGTAATACATTATGTTACTTTTATCCAAGATTCATTCAAGTTTGTTTGTATTAATTTCAGTGAAATTGTGTACGAACTGATCGGTAAAAATCACATAACTCACCATGGAATAGCCTCGAATTGAACATAAGTAGTAGTATAGGTAATGGGGGTTCTTCTGCAACCCCACTGGAGCCAGATTTATATACCTATACTGCTACTACAGATGGAATTTTTTATGCAAAAATGATGATGCGATTCAACGATCGTCATGAGATTAAGCTAAATTGACTCTAGCTCACAACCACCTCGAGCCAATCAATGCTTCTATGATATAAATTTTTATAGGTAATGGGGGTTCTGCCGCAACCCCACTGGAGCCAGATTTATATACCTATACCACCACTACAGAGGGAATTGTTTATGCAAAAACAGCGATGCGATTCAACGATAGTCATGGGATTAAACTAAATTGTAATGAAAATATTCTCTATTATTTTTACTCATACGCATACCATTATTTTGAACAAAGTGATATTCCACATTTTTACTAAGTTCTTCGTTTATTTTACTAGGAGACCAAACTATATACTCTTTTTCAAAATTGGAAAGAAACAATTGATGGCCGTATTTGGTTGGTTTGACATCACTGATATAATATATACCCTGTGGTAATTCTCGCCATTTGATTGGCTCCATTATTATATACTTATGTAAGAATTCGTCTAAATTATTGTGGTGTGATCCAACGTGATCAAGCAATCTAGTTATTTGGTTTTGGCACGGAATAATTGACGCGCTTGTTGTCTTTCCCTGTTCTATGAACTTTTTTTTCTCGTCTTCGCTAATACCACTGGTTTTACGAGAATTTGATCGAATCTCCTGCTTCATTGCCTTGTATTTGGTGAGTTCTGACAACACTAAACGAAACTCCTCCTCGTATATCTTACAATCAGCCATTACTGTTGAAATATGATCCTCAATACTGTTCAACTTTGCTTCGGCGAGTATCCGAATATTATCATGTCTTAATGCTTTCTTTTGCAACTTACGAGAAATAAATTTTATCGCTATTCCTGCCAGTCCTGAGACTGGCGGCTACTTCCATACCAAGTACGATAGGCACGGCGATTTTAGTTGATAATAAACCAACACCGGCTACACCGAGTCCTATGCCAGCTGTTACAAGCGCAGTGTCAACTCCGTCGAGAGCATTCACAGTTCTGCAATACTTTTTATACAATCCAAGTCTCATCTCCCTCTCCTTCTCTATTCGATGTTTTATGTCGCTTATTTGATGTAATTGTAATCCATCAACAGTATCCATCTTTTCAGATGCTTCATCGAGCGCCCGATATAAACCCATAGTGTATATTATTATATCAAATAATAGTCTTAAATTGGTCTTGCTTCAATGTTTTGAGAGCATACATCAACCTTATTCAATGTATATTATACGGCATAAATATCTTAGTAAGAGAAATGCTGTCACTTTTATTAACTTGGACCCCTTAAGGGTTGCAACGGGTGACGCTCCTACATAAATAACACTACAACGTCGACGCTCGTGTTACTTGAGCCATTTAATTGATAGACCTGGTAATATCTCGAAGGCATCTTCTGGTGCATCCCCAAACAAGACTTCAAAAATAAGCGTAGAAGGATTATGTATTGCACTCAAGTTCTCTTTTGTATCATTGAATTCAGTAACCAAATTAAAACTAACATTTTTTACTGCCTGACAACTCAATAACATATGACCTGGGTTTTCTGGCAGGGGAGCGACTAACACACTTTTTCGTTTTGATGGGATATAAGCCCCGAGTACGATCCCACTATTTATTATCTTAGTTAAATTATGTGCCTTAACCATCATCACATATGGTGGGTTAATGACAATATTCAGTAGCCACTCGATTTTTTCTTTGACCATAGTCCATTTATTATCATCGTTGCGAGTAAGATTGTATGAAGTGTTTTTATTGAGTCTTCTAACGTCGACATCACTTAAATCTCCTAGATTACCTGTGAATGTAACTTCTTTCCGCTTGTAAGTGTAAAGCGTATAACTTGCCATCTGTACCGGGTTTACCGAATCCTTCTGTGTCTCCAAGATCGAAAAGCGCAATTGTATTACATTGTCTAATGTTATGCGATCCAGGGCCCTAATGAATCAACCATTACTTATAATATGGAACGTTACACTCAAGTATCCTATATGTACAGTTTGGTGTTTTACATCTTATACAGAAATTTTGAGGTCTGAAATAATACCCCGCTTTAATTTTTTATATTGTAATGATGGGAAAGATTCCGTTCTACCGCTATTGTATTTTTCATCTTTGACTGGAATAGCTCTAAGCATAGTTGAAGGACTTTCGAGTTGAATATTATCTGTTGTACTGATCTGATCAAGATGGATGCACAACTCTTTATAGGGAACTAAATCAGGTGATTTAACTCCATGCCGTGTTTCATTGGGTTGTATTAATGGGTTTCTCCTGTGTTCTTTTTAAGAAATATTTGCTTTTCTACAGCGATTAAAATCAGCATTCCATTCGACTCATTTTGTGTGAGACTCCATTAGGCTTAAAAATTTCATCATTGAGTGAGCATATGCTGTAATACCCATCAGATATAGTGATGTTTTTGTTTGAACCACTGATATCACCTAGTATTAACTTTTTATTATTTCTCACAGCATTTATATTGGTCCACCGAGGGTAATACGTCACATCGCAGATAGCGACTTCAAGTTGACCAGCCGAGTTATCGATAGTGTGAAGCAGTTGAATAGACTGACCATTTGTTATTCCTGGGAGTGTAACATACATATTTAATATACAAAGATACTATATCATAACTTAAATATGAAATCAACTTCCATTACTAATCAGTCAATTTTAGTAAGTGCCTCTGGTGCTAATATTTTTGTTAAATTCCCTGATATCTTTGAAAAATACAGGGTCACGGCAACTAGCGATAAAATGGTGCACGATTGCTTACACAACCTGATGCAGTTTTGGCAGAATCAGTTAAACTTTGCCATATGGTGTGCCACAACAGGATGTGGTGTATCTCTTTATGCCCCAAGATTTGAACTAAATAAGTCTGTTATATCATTTCACGTGTACTATCAGATTAGACATATACTTAAAGAAATTAGTGCCCCATTACCACAGGATCGACCATGGAAGGCATCAAATAATCAATATGATAAGAGGGCCTTCGAATGTATTTGTAATGAATTTAATGTTTCTATGAGTAAAGATTGGCGTATTAAAGGAATTAACCATGGTTTAGGCGTTCCTTACACAAGGAAAATAACCGTCAAAGAAGAAAGCGATGATTTATTTAAAGAAGTTAACAAAGGTCCGTTTAATGCGTTTAAGTTGTTGCATAGGAGCAACTAAAAATCCATCATTGGTATAAAGACTGGGAACTTTCGAATAATGATTGGAGAGTTGATATTATGAGTTTTAAGAGTGGTTTAATTTATATCATTACAAAATTTGTACAACTTAACGATACTGCAAACGATTGGAATGAATTTCTTAATGATAAAACAGAAAATAATTTTACTAACCCAGGAGTTGTAAGAGTTAATGAATCAATAAGAACTTATGTATGGGCAATTCTTGGTGCACAATCGCAAACACGAACAGGAATAATTATACCCCCGTTTACAAAGTAAATCGGGGGTATATAGCATTCCATCCGTCCTTCCTTCCGTCCGAGCTTTTGTACAGCCCATAACTTTTTAACCATGCACCCTAGCTTCACCAAACTTGCTACACACATTTACCACAATGAGTACTTGTGCCCTTTGCTAGTTTGAAGATTCTAAACTTTTTAATTTTTGCAGTTTCCATGGAAACATTAAGAAACTTAAACTTTTAGGGTGGGTGTTTTGTACGGCCTATATCTTTTTAACTATACACCCTAGCTTCACCAAACTTTCTACACACATTAACCACAATGAGTACTTGTGCCTTATGCTAGTTTGAAGATTCTGAAGTTTTAATTTTTGCCGTTTCCATGGAAACATTAGAAACTTAAACTTTTAGGGTGGGTGTTTTGTACAGCCTATATCTTTTTAACTATGCACCCTAGCTTCACCAAACTTTCTACACACATTTACCACAATGAGTACTTGTGCCTTTTGCTAGTTTGAAGATTCTGAATTTTTAATTTTTGCTGTTTCCATGGAAAAATTTGAAACTTAAACTTTTAGGGTGGGTGTTTTGTACAGCCTATATCTTTTTAACTATGCACCCTAGCTTCACCAAACTTTCTACACACATTAACCACAATAAGTACTTGTGCCTTTTGCTAGTTTGAAGATTCTGAATTTTTTAATTTTTGCCGTTTCCATGGAAACATTAGGAACTTAAACTTTTAGGGTGGGTGTTTTGTACGGCCCATAACTTTTTAACCATGCACCCTAGCTTCACCAAACTTGCTACTCACATTTACCACAATGAGTACTTGAGCCTTTTGCTAG